ATAGAATTATTTTCCTTTGTGCATCGGACGTGTCTGCAAAATTCCTGTATCAACATATGACTGAATCTTTGGCTTCTTAAAGTGACTACCTCGATTGCATTTACACATACCGCTTGAGAATGGATACATTTTGAAGCATATAGTCCCAGCGAGAAGTTGCTCTAGCTCTTCATCTTCATCAAACTGTCTTTCATATTCATCTGGAACTTCTGATTCAGTCAAGTCTGGAACAAAAGTTCCTGGAACCTTGCTAGCATTTGCAATTGCCTGAACCAGATGGCACAAGCTAATATAATAATCTATGGGATAGATTTGATATAAGATCCAGCATAGAAGGATTAGCCATGTACTTATACATTTTGTTCAGCCATATGTACATTTAGTTGATGAAACCAGTGGAGTTGTATGTTGAACTTGTATAATTACCCAAATCGGAGTATGAAATGTTCTAATTCTTGTTTCTGAAAATATTTCAAAATTTTATACACACCTTGATTAAGTATTGACTTGAGACTCCATCTTCCTGCTCACGAGTTCGCAGCCCCTGTATTAGTTCATTCAGTTTAAGCGAATAAATGCTTCAGCAATTGAAATCCATAGATCCTAATATAAAGAAGGTAAAGATGACAACATGAGAAGTATGCATGAACAATACCTTCGTTAAAGTAACAGTAGAGGACCAAAGACAGTTAGACGTTCTGGTTGACAAGTGAAACCTACTCATAAAGCGCTAGCTTAGAAGGAGATCCAGATTTTGAAGTAAAAGAGTTATACATTCACAAATCAGTATGACAATGCTAGGAACACCAATGACATGTCAAAGGCATCTTTCTAGAGATCCAAACATGGTCTGCAGGCATCTTTGAAGGGATGGAAACCTTTCAGACTTAATTAGAGCAACACTGTTTGGTGCTTTATTCTTCCCTTTAGGGGATACAAATGAGCACCGAGATGAAGCAATTCTAACATGAACACAACTCAGCAACATTTTTCAAAAGAAGGATCCGTCTGTGTTCTTAACATCCATACATGTAAGATATCAACAAAAGTTGTGCTTTCTTGATAATAATCATCGGCAGAAGAAAGAAAACAAATTCAAAAATAGGTTGTTGATGTAGTAGTAACAAGAAGTTCATCAACCACAGCCAAAAATATACGATCCCTGATTGCAGAACTTTTCTCATGTCTCCAACAGAAAAGAAAAGCAGTTATTTCCACCCACATCATAAAGATAAAGGAGGAACAGCTGTCATCAATACTATCTTGTGCTTGGAAAACCACCCTCCAATTAACCAGCCCCACTTTTCAAAGAGAAATATACAAATATATCTTATAGCATATTTTGTTTTTCCCTTAATTTGATCCACTTAATGCTGTAAGGAAAAGTGAATGGTAATTAGGGTAGTCACAATATAGCACAGAAACCTCATGTGAATCATTCTATAAAAACCAGCCCTATATCCCTCCTAGTGAATCTAGGAAACATACAACAAAAATTACAAACTCCGAACACAAGGTGCTCCTAAGGGAATAAGGATCTGAAAGGATATATCAGGGTAAACTGACAGATGCAACAGGAATACCTATGATCTCCACGTTTTGGACGTGCACTAGCCAAGGCACCAGTAAAACCCACACCTAAAACTGGTGAACCTGTACATTCAAACAAATAGAAAGCATGTCACATAAAAACAACATAGATCAAAGAATAAAACACTATTAAATAATAAATGGTGAAACTTTGTAATACACATAGGTGTAAAACAGTCTAACTTTAACTCCAAGTGACATCACTAGTTTTACGACCATACACACGATCCAACATAAAAATGAGGAGAAGTGATAAAAATCTGGCTTCTCCTTTTTGTGAAAGAGAGCATTTATCAGAAAGAGTAATAACAAAACCTGTGCTGCTACCTAGTAACTGAAAAGATGGTACACTTTGGCTTCTAGACTGTACCTTTAGCCTTTATACATCTTCAATAGCAAGCACAAATATCACACTAGAATGTCTATTATAACTTGTCAAAACAGGAAAATCTTCATCATTTAGCCAAGGCACACAAATCATTACATACACATATATCAAATAGACCACTCATGATTAGCTCAAGTGGTCATCTATGATATGAGCTGTTAAGTGTCTCCCAACCACTTCAAATTGACACTTGAAAGTTTTATCTTCTATATCAATTCTCAACACGCTTAACTATCAATCAACTATATCAACACTAAACTAGTTAGAGTCGGCATAAGATGAAACATGAGGACTCTCCATGAAGACACACATCCTAGTACTACGCTCGCCTAAGCACACTTAACTTTTGAGTTCTAATGTGATCCATTACATTATTGTTAGTATGATCGCATCCCTCACATATTTAATCTGTTTACCCGCTTCCTTTATTCTTGGAGCTGGCTATGCTTTGGCTGCTCATGGAGTTTTCTCAATTCTCCTAACTAAACTAGAAAATTTCAATAAATATGTGAGCCAAATTCGTTTAGCTAAGAGATGCATGCACATGATAAAACCACAAAATCCACAATCCAACGACAAAAATTCCAATAAATCCAAAATCAAGACCTGGTTTAGAAAGCTTTAATGCCCTATTATAAGCCAACAATGCCATTTCCTCAGCCGTTTGCGAACTAGCTGCTTGAGCAGGAACCTGTCCCAGAAAAAAGGAAACTCTCAAATGCTTTAGCAGTGAAATCACGATAAATTTCAATTCCAATCAATAAAATATAAAAGAAAAACAACGATTGAACTTGAACATTAAATGACCTTGCCAAGTAATTGAATCATAGACATTCTGGAATAAGTAACTACGGATTCAAGCACCGTGTTTGATGCTCCTGGAACTGACATCAACCACCCCAGCGCCTGCTCAAATTGTTACATTTCATCAAAAAAAAATGATATATCTCAGTTGATAACATATAGAGATGCCTTAATATCTCATATGAGTTTAACATATGTACACTGGCAGGATATATTTTAAACTTTTTATGCACTCAGATTAAATTGACCTAAAACATGATATTGATCAGTTTTAATAACACTTCAAAAAAAGATGCTATGATCAGTTGATAACACAAAGATGTCTTCATATTTCATGCTTATGAGATAAACTTATGTCCACTGACAGTATATATTTAAAAACAATTTACACAAAAATTGACCTAAGAAAACAGTTATTAGCTGTTCATCACACGTCCAATATGTAATTAAGAAAACAGTTTTACACTGTCAGTGCATACGCTTACCTGAGAGGCACCGCCGGAGAGATAAATGACAGCTTGAGTAGGAGAGGAATGTATCGCTTCTACAAGAGCTCGAAGGCGACTATCGGTCATCGTCGCCGTTGCCGTCACCGTCGATGGACGACTGCGATTAACTTCGCTTATTTTTTCGCCGATTTTGTTCAAATTGATTTCGTTGACACGGTGTCGTTTCTAGCACTACACGAAATGAGGAAAGTGCCAAAGCGAATCCCGTAGTGTAGCAGTCTGTAGCTAGTCCTCCTTTTGCTTTTCTTTTTTTCTTTTTTGGCAATGACAAAATGAGATATTTTTATAGTATAAAATATTAGCATAATTTTTTTTTGGGGNTCTTGCAAAAAACATATCACCCTTTTTATTAGTCATTTTCTGGTAAAAGTTTTCTTGCGAAAGACTACCAAATTATACCAATTTTCTATTGTCATAAGATCTAATGAAGTATGAATATATATTAATTAAATGCAGTTAAGTGAGGAAAATACATATTTAAAAATATCATGTGTTTATTGATTTGATATATAATGTGTGCTTATAAGTTATTAGCATTTCTTGTTGGTCCTTAGTATTCATATTTCATATTGTTTATGTCACATAAAAATTGTATTCTGAAGCAAATGAAATGTTATATTTAAGTAATATAAAGTCAAAACTTGTTAGAGTTTTTAGCTTTAGTACTGGGCTTATTCTGTTGTCTTAGTTTAGTTGTATATTTATCTTGTATTAGTCCAGTTGTTATTTTATCCGGTTAGTTAGCCCATTAAGCTTAGTTCTTACTTTGTGCGCGTTTGGATATAAGAATTGTAAAATTTCAAAATATGGGGAAAAAAAATTTTCAAGTGAAAATGGTATTTGAAATTTAGAGTTTTGTTTGGACATGAATATTATTTTGGGTTGTTTTTAAAGTTTTGTGAGTGATTTGAGTGAAAATTTTGAAAAATACCTTTTGGAGTTTTTTAAATTTTTGAAAATTTCCAAAATGCATCTTCAAGTGAAAATTAGAAATTTTATGAAGAAACGCTGATTTCGGAAAAAAAAAAAATTGGAAAAAAGGAAAAAAAATCCTATGTCCAAACGGGCTCTTTGTTTTATCAATTTTGCCCGTGTATATAAAGAACATATATCATCATTTTGGAGTAGTTATGAAAAGTTCTAGAATTCTCTCAAACGCTCATTCATCTCTCTAGCTTTGTTTTCCATTCTCTGGCCAGAAATTGCCGGATTCACCATGGATTCCGGCTAGTTATTCTTAATTTCTTCATGGTATCAGAGCAGTATACCTCACTTTGTTTCATTTTCGTCAACCGATTATAAATCGCAAAGACCCTAATCTCTCTATTTAGGATTTTCTCAATTTCTCTTTTCATTTTTCTCATAATCACCTTCTATCCGTTGATTATTTTGGAGTTTTGTTCTCTATTTGTGCGAAAGTTTCAAGGAAGGTTCGAAGTCGAGTTAAATTTGGCAAGTTTCGACTTCATACGGGCAGTTTCGAGTTGAATTTGGCAGTTTCGAGTTCATAACTCCGGTGACACATTTGTGGTTTTGCCATGATTTTCTCGGTTTGTTGCTCGCTTGGTGATCCTCTTCGGTGTTGGTAAGATCTATCCCTCTTCTGGTAGTGTGCGTGTTGGTATAGTGTATTGACGGTGTCTGTGGGTGTATTCGTGGTGATATATCTTAGCTTCTCTGACTTCTCTTACTGTTGTGAAAAAAAAATTATGGGTGACGAATACTTTGATGTTGATAATTTTCATGATCCTGACCATCCCTACTATTTGTACCCCTTAGACAATCCTAGTCTCATAATAGTACCAAAGCAGTTTAACTATTCAGGGTTCAGGGGTTGGAGTCGGTCTATTCTTTTCTCTTTAGGTGCGAAAAATAAATTAGAGTTCATAGATGGATCCTTTGTCAAACCTTCTTCCACATCTCCCCTGGCTAAACAGTGGGAAAGATGCAATTATATGATCTCTAGCTGGTTGTTGAATGCACTGAGTCCTGATATAGTTGATAGTGCTATATACTCCAAAAATGCTAGTCAAATGTGGGATGACTTAAATGAAAGATTCGGACAAGCTAATGTTGCTCGTTGGTATCGGGTTCAAAAGGATCTAAGTATTGTTTCTAAAGGTTCTTGTGATATTCAATCTTATTTTACCAAAGTAAAAAGACTTTGGGATGAGCTAGACTCTCTCAGTTCCTCTGGTTGCACTTGTGACTGTACTTGTTGGGGTAAGGAGAAAGCTCAGAAAGATAAGAAAATACAAAACTAATGCAATTGTTAATGGGGTTAAATGAAATCTATGATGGTACTAGACGTAATCTAATTATGATGAAGCATATTCCAACTATAAGTCAGGCATATGCTATGCTACTCCAAGAAAAGAAACAAACTGAAATACATACCCATGTTCAGTTTGTTCCAGAATCTGCATCCATGACTGCTTCCTACTCAGGCACACAAAGATATGGTCATAAGTTTACCCCCAAGAAATAATAATAAGAAGCTGAACTGCAACTACTATAAGAAGCCATGTCATACAATCGACAAATGTTATAAATTGCATGGGTTCCCATCTGACTTCAAGTTCACTAAGAATAAAAGAATTGCTGCAACAATTCAGGCCATCCTTATGACTGACAATTCCACTGAGTTCACTGATAAATGTCAGACTTCAGTATCTTCCTTCACACCTCAACACTCCCAACAATTGCAAGAGTTGGTCTCTCTACTTCAAACTAGTCGTCTGAACCGTGAGAAACATGCACCTCAGTCAGAAATGCTTACAACATCTACCAACTTTACAGGTAAGATAGCATGTTTCTTTGCTAGAAAGATAGCTTGTGCTACTCATAGTGCTGGTTCTTGTATGTGTCTTCATTCTAAGCATTTTGTTGAGTATTGGATAATAGACTCAGGTTCAAGTGATCGCATGACCTCAAACAAATCCTTACTTACACATGTTCATGATCTTCCTATTCCTTACTTAATCACTCTCCCAAATGGGTACAAAGTTAAAGTAACTTCTGTAGGATCTTTAGCTTTGACTCATACTTTTATATTGGAAAATGTACTATTTGTTCCTAGTTTTAGATACAAACTTCTCTCAGTAAACAAATTGACAGTTCAATTACATTGTAATATTTTGTTTACCTTAACTTTTTGTATATTGCCGACCCCTTGTCATGCCCCGAACTCGGGGAGTGCGACCGACGCTCAACCGAGTGAACCCGGTCAAGCAAGCTTGTTAGATACTTTCTACCCAAACTCACTTATGAATAAAGATAATACATATTTTCGTTAATTAGATAATAAATAGATCATGTATACAATACCAATTTATTACCATTAGTTACTTCATTTTAAAGTCTCAAATTACACACACTTTCATAGTTTGAAGCGAAAGATGTAACACACATACAACATTACTATCTTGACTTTCCCAATACTAATACAACACACACCATGTCTGCGGAGCCTCTAATAGATATGAAAGAGTACTATGATAGTGCCGGCAAGAAGGCCCCGGCTATACCTCAAACACAATACACGAGGAACAAAATATACATGATCCCGAAATGAAGTGAGGCTCACCAAGTTAGCTGGGAAGAGGGTGCACCGCTATCACTGATCAATGTCTCCTGTTGTGAAACCACCTGCATCCATTGAAGATGCAGCACCCCCGGTAAAAGGGAAGTTAGTACATATGGAATAGTACTAGTATGAATGACAAAACACCCTATCAATAGAATAATTAATAATACAAGTAAGAACAATCATAATATCAGTGGAAGCCACAAACAACATCAAATCTCAAGTTAGGACCAAGACAGTGTTCAAATAAATTTTCATATTTTAAGTGGGGAGATCTTTAGTACCGATATGCCAACGTTCACAATACCAATACCACCGTACTTTTAGCACGGAGTTCAATCACGATCGGCTAGGCCGTATCATCCGAGACATCAACCACAATCACAATTTCAATTATAATTTCCAGCACATTCACCACCGTGTGTATGGCATGGCGTCCGATCACGACCCGATCGGCTGGGCCATCTCACCACAATGATGTGTGGATCGACATTATCCTTTTCTACCAATCATATCGTTTCATACTTTTTTCACATCTTTTTATTTCATTGGCACTAATGGCCATAATTATAAAATTATTCTTGGCACGTCGGTCGTATTTAGTATTTTATGCTCACTTTTTTCACTTTCAAACATCATCATCATCGTCAACAACAAGGCATTTCAAATTAAAATTTTTAGAACACATGTGAGCAATTAAGAGTCTTAGGCACATATAGACATTTTACAAAATTTGCATAATAGCCTTCGTTTGGACTTGACTTGAAGTCGAAACATTTTTAATGCACAACTCATACTTTAAACATATTCTCAAATGATAACATAACATGATAAAAGCATTTGGGATATATATTGAACATATATCTTTCAACACAAGCTTATTCCGAATAGCCAATTTTATAATGAACAACTCGGGACTTACATAAATTACATGAATACTGTGGGATTCAATTTTAAGAGGGGAGTTTAGCCAACATATCTCGATTTGAGCTCTCCTTAGATTACTACAACATTTCGAAAATCCTAGCAATTCCAATCTATTTTGAAACATAACAAAGTTAACACAAATTAGGAATATATTCATGGTTTCAGCTCATTTGACCATTTTATCAAACACTATGTGTGCAAATTTAGCTACAAGGTTCTTCTACAAGATTTTCTTCATTTTACAACTAAATCTTTACTTATTTGAGCTCAACAATTTTCTCACAAACCTTATTGGTACATGCATGTATACATAATACTCTCACACCCAAAAATTATACTCTCAATCACTAATCTGTTACCCCAAACTCGAAATTGAAGAATTAGGGAAAAGAATTCTTACCTCTTTGAAGCCCTAGCAAGATCCTTGTAAAATCTTCAAGCCTTGAGCAAGAATTGATGAATAATTGGTTATGTCTTCTCTTTCCCTCTCTAAGATACTCTCACCTCCCTCTAAAAATATCAGATGAAGCCCTTAAAAATGACCCCCAATGCCTTTTTATAAAAATGGGATTGGGTAAAATTTTCAAAACTTAAACTTGCCGAAAGCGGGTCTGCGGTCGCATACTGTACTGTAAAATTGATATGCAGCCCGTAAAATGGGCCGCAAAAATGATGCCCAAAAACTGGACTTGTCTGGTCCAGTGTGCGACAGTTCTGCGGTCCACACACATGTTCTGCAACCGCATACTGGACCGCAGAATTATCTCCCAGATTTTTTTCATGCCAAGTTTATGACTGAAATGCAGTCCGCAAAGTGCATATGCGATCGTATAATAGACCGCAGAAATGACCTTCAAATTCAATAATCTATCTGCTTCAGTTCGCGGTAGATCTGCGGTCCGCATATCAATTATGCGACCGCATAATTAACCGCAGAAATGGCTTACGCTTTCGAAGATTTTCTTCAACTCCCCAATGCATTGTTCGACCCAAAATGTTCGAGTCGCTATAATCCTCAAACACGTAAGCCTACCTCGGCACCACGAAACCTTAAATTCCTTTACGAAATTTTAAGGGGCCTCACACCCCTTCTCTGAAGAGGCAACTGGTTCTTGGTGATCTGGTTCAAGGAATTTACATCATGGACAAACCCACTATCATCTATACTACTACTGATTTTGATTCTCGCCTATCCCTGCTTCTTTACAATCTGTAAATAATGCCACTATCCCTGTCTATTTATAATATGTAAATAATTCCATTATTCATGCTCCCTTACATTATGTAAATAGTGTGAATAAGACTTCTAGTTCAACATGTAATATAGGTTCCTCTATCAATAAAATTGTTGAACTATGGCATTCTAGACTTGGTCATATTCCTTTTTCCAAAATATTAAAAATTTCTGGATTTTTTTATCTCCATGCAATAAACAGCCTTTTATTTGTAATATATGTCCATTGGCTAGATAACAAAGAATTTTCTTTCCACATAGTAAAATTTATTCTACACAGATTTTTTTATCTCATTCATGTGGACCTTTGGGGCCCTTACCACACCTCCAATTATTCTGGCTATAGGTATTTTCTCACTATGGTGGATGATTACAGTAGAGTAACCTGGACCCATTTGCTGAGCTGTAAGAGAAATGCTTTTACCATACTGAAAGCCTTCTTTTGTGGTAGAGACTTAATTCAATATGAAGGTTAAAATACTTAGATCTGATAATGCACTGGAATTAGGATCTAGCCTCGAAAATTATTCCTTTATTATTTCTAAATGTATAATCCATCAAACTCCTTATCCACATACCCTTCAATAAAATGATGTGGTGAAAAAAGAGCACAAACACCTTTTTGAGACAACAATAGCTCTTTTATTTTAGTCTGGCCTTCCCACTTCTTACTGGGTGATTGTGTTCTTACAACCACTTATCTCATTAATAGATTCCCAAGCACTGTTTTATCTGGGAAGTCACCACATGAAGTAACGTTTAAATCCCCTCACTCTTATCAACATCTCAGGGCCTTTGGTTGTTTATGTTATGTTAACACACCAAAGCCTCTTCAATATAAGTTTAAACCCAGATCTTCTGCATGTGTATTCATTGGGTATCCTTTTTCCAAAAAGGGATACACGGTACTTCAACTCGACACCAAGAAAATTACAGTATCTAGAGATATTATTTTTTATGGGTCCATCTGGAAACCCTACATCTACTTTTTATCATCCTAATCCAGTGTTTAATTCTGAAATAGGCCTAAATGATGCAGCTAGGTATGCACCACATCCCATTTTTCTCCTCCTTCCACTTCTCCAATCCATGTTTCTCCAACTCATGTTTCTTCTCTATCTCTAGTTACATCTTCTCCGGGCCCTGCTTCTTCTCCACCTCTAGTTACCTCTTCTCTTGTTCCTGATCCTCCTATTTCTAGTTCCCAGCTGAGGAGATCTTCTAGGCCTCATATTGTCCCTAACTACTTGCAAGAAATTTGTTATTCAACCCCTACTTCACTTCTTTTTACACTCACCAACTGTTTCATTGGTCCTAATCGCTTGTGCTTAAGTAGTTTATCTTCTAATAATCAAAATTTAGTAAGGACTATTAGCACTGTGCAGGAACCTGCCACTTTTTAGCTAGATCTTCTTTACCGTGCATGACAAGAAGCAATGAATAAAGAATTTGAGGATCTTGAGGCTAACCAAACCTGGTCTATTATTCCTTTACCTCCGGGGAAGAAACCAATTGGTAATAAATGGGTATATAAAATTAAACATAGGGAAGATGGCATCATTGAGAGATTCAAAGAACGACTTGTGGTTAGAGGGGACACACAACTAGAAGTCATTGACTATACCGACACTTTTTTCCATGTTGTCAAGATGACAACCATCAGAAGTGTCATAGTCGTAGCTATTAAAAAGGGCTAGGATATGTTTCAATTAGACGTTAATAATGCATTTTTGCAACGGGATTTAGAGGAGGAAGTATATACGAAAATTCCACAAGGAATGTCTGTTCCATCACCTAAATTGGCTTATAAGTTGCAAAAATCTTTATATGGACTAAATCAAGCTTCTAGGAAATGGTATTTGTAGCACCCCAGAAAAATTTTGAAATACTTAAGCGCTAATAAGAAAGTTGATATGCACTAATTATATTATTTTGTGTACAAGCGAGGACTATTAATATGATGGATATCAATTGGATATGATAATAAGTGTACGAGGTATATTATAAGTGATGTGGGGTCAAAGAATAGACCTAAGTCCAAGTCAAGTTGGAAATTACATGATAGACTAAAGTGCCAAATAAGTACGCACAAAACCAAACTTTTGACGAGCATATCTACATATATATATATAAGGAGTTATGTGATGGACAACCTATCAAATAAAATATCTTCGAGTGATCGAGTTTAGTTTCTAACGCTTCAAACCGATTGTCATTTGGACATTCCTACAAGATGTTATGACCATATTATCAAAGGATAGCAGAAGAGTCTGCGGATGCGAAGCATCCAGGGCCGCGTCCGTAAGAATGGCTGGTAGTGAAGTGCTGCCATAGCATCCAAGGCCGTGTTCGAAACCCAGAAATTTGGGCTTATAAATACAAAGTCGGGGGAGGAGAGTATTTTAAGTATTGGGGGTTAGAGTTATTGAGGTGAAAGGGCGATTTTAAGCTCAAATCAAATCCAATCAACCACGGTAAGTTGTTAATGTTGCTTTGGGTTGATTCTTACTCAATATACATGAGTTCTAACATCATTCTTACATCCAAATGCTAGATTTCATCATCAAATCCTCAAGAACACTAAAATAACCAAAGATTAAGCTACTAGAGGTAATTTCAATGCTTCAAACTCATTTATTATGAGTAGTTAGAAGTATTTGAAGCATTTGTTACAAGTTTTAATGGTTGAAAGATTGGATTATAAAACTCTAGTTCATGATATGAATAATACTTTTGAGAAAATAAGAGAGAAGATGAATGGTAATCTTAGCGATGAAATTTAAGAATACAATGAACCTATGGAATTATTTGTTAGCAAAAGATGGAAGTGATCAACTAAGTAATCACCCGAATTGTATATTTTGCAAGTGTTGATTATGGAAGACAATGAATAGTAACTTGGTGGCAATGAACAATTGATGTAGTATCATTAATGACTTCGAATGGGTATTAAAACATAAGAATGAGGTTGAATGATCTAGCATATAAAACTATTTGGCGATTTGAGTTGTTGGAGGCTTGCAGCCAACTTATGATCCATATATGGATGTTGATCAATATCTTAGGTCATAATTTGATATAATTAGGATATTTAATTATAGATATCGACTTGTTGGTAATGTTGAGCATTTTAATCAACATTGGAATAATGGAGGAGCATTGAAATCTTGTAAATATTAATAAAGCGAAAGCGAGGTAAGTTGATTAAAACTTACTCTTCTTGAGAAATTTTCTCTAAAGGCATGTTTCGAGTTAATACTTAAGTTGTTTGCCAATATGCTTTCGTGCTTGTGGGGACAAACAAGTACAAATATCTCCATGTATTAAAGTATTATGTTGCATATGTAGTGTCATGTTGCATTATAAAATTTTATTTTAAATCTTGTTGGCAAAATGACACTCAAGATAAATATTATAAGTTTTTATCAAAATTTATGTATTGACGAGCGTATACATATTTGAGTGTTAAGGATAAGTTTTCATGGAAAGTATCTTTTTTGGAAATTAACTAACATAATAGCACTTGTGGTATCTTTTAAAGATTGATGTTAAATTGCTAAAGGCTTTAGCATGTAAAATATTGTTTATTTAATTTTTGTTCAAATGATTTAGATTTTTCTATAAATGATATGAGTTGATAAAAATAGATCATTTGAAGCTACTATGCTATGAATCTATTTTTGAAGTATCAAATATTTTGGGAGTTACTTGTGTTCACCTAGATTGACATCATATATATTGTCTTCGTTGTCATGAAACTGCACGTGCTGATGTAGGAGTAGATGGCCACTTTGTGGTATAGACTACGACAGAGTGCTCTCCCTCGATAGAGTACTATTTTGTGCTATTATTAATATGTCTGAGTCGATTCGTACGACACTACGATGAGACGACATGAGCAAGTAGGGTATATGATACTTGCCGCTAGGTACATAACCTAGTTGACCTTCTTATGTCAGTGATTGTATAGTACTCCCAGTAAAAGGTAAGGATGGTTTTCGTATGTTTAGACCTAAGGAACCGAAAGTGATTTTAATGACTTAAAACAAATGGGATGATTTTGTATGATTTTATCCAAAATCTTGGATTGATGTAAATATTTTAAAAGTTTATATTGCGATTTATATTTTATTTGTCTTTTATTTAAAATGACAAAGATCATGAATTGATAAAACTTCTTATCGTTTTATATCAAATATTGATGCATTATTTTTTATAAAGTTTGTCCCAAGAACTTAAGTTAGAGAGAGTCTATGACACTTATTGAGTACCGTTGTGGTGTACTAAGCCCTTAGGGGGGGCCCTCCAGGGACCCGCTTACTTTACATGTTTCAGGATGAGGTATGATACGTGGAATACAGTCAGGTCTAGGATGACTCTCTTCGTGAGGTATATAGTGAGGCACCACTCCTATTTCATGGTAGCTATCGTGTTGTTTTCTTAATTTGCGCTAGTCGGGTATTAACCCAAGTGTTTAATTCTATTCTTTAGTATAGAGGCTCAATAGATAGTTGTGAAAGGTTGTAGTAACGGGTTTGTACATGACATACATGAAAATATATTTATTTTACTTAGTCTTATTGTTATTATCATGAAAGACGTCATGTGTGATTTTGAATTGGAAAATATTTTATCATTTAACTTGAAAATGTATATGAATTTCAAGGGGCTTCCGCAGTTAAATTGATTTTCATGCATATGATTTGGTGCATCACATGGTTTGATTCGCTCGGGTTGGGTAGTGTGTCTGGAGCCGGACACGTGGTTTTGGGCCGTGACATACTTGGTA